CACATCATTTACAGCAACAGCTGAGTTAGACAAAAAAAACTAAATCATATATATATATAAATCCAAACATTCAAAGTACGTTGTAAACAGCCCAAATTTCACCCGTGTATCCAGTGAAAGCAGAGTGTGTTTGCACTGACCTGTCTCTGTAGCTGAGGCTGCATCATGGTAGGATACTGCTGCCCATTAAGTCTCGGCTGAGCCGTGGGCATTCGGCCCTGCGGTGGACCCGGGAGACGCATATGGTGGGAGGACGGGTACATGGGGGGGCCTGGCACACCATTCATACCCCCGGGCCCTCTTGGTAGCTGCTGCATACTGATGAGCCTTGGAGGCTGTCAAAAAAAAAAAAAAAAACATACAGATATACAGACTGTGTGAAAATCAGATCATTGGTGAAACACAACCATGACAATTTATGCTAACAGCAAGTGAAATTCAGGGTCACGCAATGACGGGAACAAAACATATAGTTAATGCTGACATGATGGGTAGATTTAAAGACCCCTTGATCCACAGAAAACAAACTGAAGACTTGAATCTTCAATTCAGACATGTATCCCTTAAAAATACTAAATATTCACTGGTCCTCTCAAATGCTAAGATTTGCTTGCTTTTCCTTGTTTAACAACATTAAATCATAACTTTTGAGGATTTTGACAGATGATTAGACAAATTGAGTGATCTTAGATCAATTTGGGTTCCCCATCCCTTGAGACGGACATTTTGTCCGTTTTTTTGTAATAGTTTGATGACAAAAATGACGAATAATAAACTTATTAACAAAGTCCACAAGTGTGTTTATCTTGTATTAATTCTTATGGACGTTTGTCACCGAACCCCCCCAGGCTGCTCCATTCAGCCATAAATATTCCTAATCTTGTACAGCCAGATCTCCATCTGTTAAAGCTCGGAGGTCTGGAGAGATAAAAGAATTGTCTGGTGCACTAAAAATAAAATGTTGAAGTAAGCTTCTAATATCTTAGCAAGCCTCTTAGGTGACCGTGTGGAGCACAGGTTTCCATTGTATTCCACAGTGGTTCCTCGACTGGTGAATGTTTTCCATACCGGCTGCTGACCCATGGGTTGCCCGGCCTGTCTGGCGTGCTGCTGGGACATTTGGGAGGCGATGCGCATCTGTTGCTGGATCTGCTGCTGGTGCTGCTGCTGCTGTTGTTGTTGTTGCTGCTGCTGCTGCTGTTGCTGTTGTTGTTGCTGCTGCTGTTGTTGTTGATGATGCTGGTGCTGGTGCTTCTGCTGTGCATAGGCCGCCTGCTGCATGTGCTGCAGCCGGAGCTGGGCCAGGTTGATCTGTCCTGCTTGCTTGCTATGATGACCTTGGCCTGGAGAAATGGGTGGTCCTCCTAACATCACGCTGGGCTGTTGCACAGGCGGAGGTGGCTTCTCGATAACCAAATTACCTACAGTGAGAACAGAAAGCTTAATTTATAGAAGTGCACATGCTCTAGACAGGTGTGAAATATTCCTTTATTGCATTTAATGCGAGAGGGCACTTTAATCTATTTCTTACTGCAGTTCACGCTGTTTATAGCCACTGTACTATTAATAAGGCACAACTTAATCTGGTCAGCCGGATGATGAATATCATGTAGAAATAATAAGCATGCAAAGACACACCTTTCAATGGCAAATTCAGACTAATCTTGGTTAGAATAAATCAATAAGAGACTGAAAGTCAATATAGACAGAATTATTGACTGATAAGGAATAATAATAATAATAATAATAATAATAATGATAATGAGGTAATAGGCCTCTCTCACCTAGATTCACTACGTTTTTGGCCCAGAAGGTGGGGTCACAGAAGAAGCGTACAACTCCGTTGGCCTGGGGCGCTGGCTCCAGTCTAGCCTTGAAGAGCTGGCGAAGCTGGAACAGAATCTACACACACACACAGACACACACAGACACACAGAGCATAATGTTCTTCGGTTAATGAGCCTGGCTTTAGTGGAGGAACAAATGCCCCATTTGTCAAAATGCCCTTTGGGAGTATTATTCCCACAAAAAACAATAAAGTTAACACAATTATCTTAGTTGCTGACTGTCTTGTGGTAGGAAGTCAAAGACATGCGGCAGAAGCCTCTAGTTTGCGCCAATAAATAAATATCCCATTTACAAAATGTGCTTGTTTGGCAAACACAATTATCTAGAAAAGGCTGATCCAGAAGCATACTCCAAACAAAATGTCACGTCTGCTGCTGAAAATAGATTTCAAGGACATACAGAAAAATACCAGAGTACTAGCTACAACCCTACTTATTGCTGTCCATGTGCCCGATAGCATGATGACAAAGTTATATCAGAAGCAAACACAGCTCAAATGTTCCTGAAAACTAGAGTTTAACACTAAAAGTAGAACAATTATTCTCATGTACAGCAGGGATCCACATCTAAGTGCTTCATCGTTCTAACAAACCAGCCACGTCGTCTGTGGTGCAACTTCAGTTTTGTTTGGAGCATCAGCTTCAAACTGCTGAACATCTGGGGCTCATGGGAAACATACCAGCCTCTTGCTGTAGAGCAGCGCCGTGCTGCTGCTAGAAGTGACGGCCCATTGGCAGAAGCTGAGCACATGGTGGATCTGTTGGGCCAGCTGGGTGGTGTCCTTATGCTGAGACACGAGCCTTATACTGCGCTCTTTGGTCACACTCTAGACAGAAAGTGAGATTATTGTGGTTAAGGCACCGCTACTGAAAGAGCCCGAACATCCCAGACGAATGAATGCTCGTACAAAATGTTAGCATGTGCATAGAGATGGATGAGATAATTAGATTTGACGAGATTAAAATTGATTGATCCCTGTGGGGAGCTTGGGTTATGTCTGCTGCTGATACCACAGCTGCTTACAGCGGTCGATAATGGAATGCAGCAAAAACAATTAAGTAAATAAGCACACAGCACATGGGGAAGTAGCCAAGTATATAACAAACGAGATTCAATGACTGAGCAAATATATGAAGAGGAAAAATGTCACAAGGCTTTTATAGGTAAGCATGACGAGGAAATTGTTCTTAATGTGTGACAACATATACAGTAAAAAGAAACGCATCAGAATATCAAGATATTCAACATCTATGATAAATAAGAAAGGTGTGGGTACACAATGTAAAAAAAATTGTTGTTGTCTCATCATATTCATATGGGCAGATAAGTAAAGCTTTTTGCAAACCATGTGGTCAATATGTGGTGTAATTGCACTGTGTTTCAGTGCAATTAGAGTGAGTCAACAGCCACAGAATTAGCTTGCATAAATGCATACAAAAAAACTATCGTTTCAAATCTATAACAATATATTTACTTTATTTTGCAGATCTTAGCCAAACTGACTTAATTAATATTCTCTTACCTCCAACTGCTGCAGAAGGGACTTGCCCTTCTTGTTGATCTCATTAATAAGAGTAAATACTGCGATTTTGATCTCGTGCTCCACCTTCTTGTGTGTGTCATTCAGCTCTTTTAACCTGGATGAAAAAAACAAAACATTTCATTTAGAGACCCTAGCCACCAACAGAAATGCTGACTGCATGTTTTCAGCCCATTGCCGTGGATATTAACATGCGGTAACTCGGTCAATGGGCAGCACCGGAGAGGAAACTGGAGATGAAAAAAAACTCGCACCTGCTTTGCACCTGAGAGACAGAGTAATGGACATAGTTCTTCTTTTCCTGTAGTTTGGCCACGCTGGTCTCAATGATGCCTTTCTGGTTCTGGAAAGCCTCCTCTAGGAACTGGTACCTGAGAGTAGAGGAAGTAACACTCTTTAAGTTACCAACTACTTTTAATAATTACTAATAGAAGATGTATGAGAATCTGAGCAGGGGATTCTTTGCTTTGCCTTTCTTTGTGTTGTAAGAGCAGTATTAATTTTCTGTCTACCAGGTGGGAGCTTCCATTCAACTTGCGAGATGCAAAGCAGTCTCTGATTAGAAAACTAGATAAGCTTAGTTTATACCCGGCGTAGTGAAGCCAGAGAGAGGCGCTGTCTTGTGACTGTCACAAATAGTTCACTGATTAAAGCACTAAACATGTCTGTGGATTATGCAAAGAGGGCCAATTCACTTTTAAATGCTTTGGAAACAGGAAGTCTTAAAAATCTTAATTTCAGTCTATATTTTGCCAGCTAAATCAAATTGTTTACCGGATACTCAACCTTCATTTCTTTACAATGCATGTAAAACTTAACTTGTTTCTTTACAGGGCTTGTACAAAGGCAATAAAGTAGTCCGTGAATATGAGATATGACTTTACAGATAATTCAAATACATCCTCTGCATTGTCGAGGTCAGTTTATTGCCGGTTACACCTACAGTCAATAGGCTACACTCGTTGTCTTTTTGATTCTTAACAGTTCATTTTGTCTGTAGGCCCTCTGGCATCTTGGAGAATAATGCAACAAACGGCTCATAGAGCATAAACGCCTCCGTTCATGCTCTTAGCTCGGCACGCCATCTGCCGAGGCTCGCGCTACGGTGCCAAGCACGAGTATCAACCACAGCACCCCTGCATGCGAGGCATTGATCGTCTGTTAACGCCTAACGATCGGTTAACACGGTGTGGTTATTGGTCAGAATCCCTAGAGGGACGTGTTAGATGTTGAGCTACCTGTGCTCCTTGTGCTCCAGCAGCTGGCAGTCCCTACAGGTCAAGGTGTCACAGGTCTCACAGAACAGCTTCAGTGGCTCCTGCTTGTGGATGGGACAGAAAACAGGCCTCTGTCCTGACGTACCGACAGACTCTATAGACACAGTGGAGAGACAGAAATCAGTAAAAAGGCAAGTTAATCGTAGAAACCGGTGAAAGAAAGACAGAACAAAAGAAAGACAAATATAGACAACAGCAAAAAGTCATGTCAAAGCCAGTTGAGGTTGGCAAACAGACAGAAAAGGTCTCAGAAAACTCTCATCAGAGCTTCAGGGTGTTTGGTCCCCCGGCTAGTGTTACCATCTCAGCAACCAGACTCTGCAGCACTGTTACTATGGCAACAGCCTACCAGCGGCACCACATTCACTGTGCTTCGACTGGCGTTAGTCTTATTTCGGCTTCTGCAGTCTTAGCTTCACGGCCCTTCGCGGTGAGGATCAGCCATCTTACCGGAGGCCGCGTCAGCATCCTCCTTCGTGTGGATCTTGTGGTCCTTGGTTATTTTGACCCTCTGGTGCGCCTCCACGCAGGTCTTACACAGCCATTCTCCGCACTCCACACAAAAGCCTATGGTTCCTGCGTTGTCCTCGCAGCTTGTGCATACCTTGAGAAGATCACACCAGAAAGCATATGAAATGCAGCTTCTACAAATGTGTGCTCAGATCATGAAATAACATTGCCTTGATATAGACACAGTATGAAGACAAGTCAAATGTTTCCAGGCTGAAAAAAAATGTCAAAGTGCTAACTTACTAATAATAATAGTACAATGGTATAGAGAACCCATTATGGTATATTAAAGCCTAAACTACCCGTTTACATTAGTGTTAAGCTAAACAAATGGTCATAGCTTCTTTAAAATAAGTTGGTTCAGTTGAATTTAGAGCATTAACGTACAGTTCAGATTTTGTGTCTGAGTAATAGGTCAAGAGCTGCATAGTTATGGAGCCACATACAGGCCAATAGTTTTGATCATTTGAAAGGAAAAAAAAAAAAAAGAAGTTGAAACTGAAAGAAAAATACAACAATGTATTCAAACTAAAAATAAGTGAAGGAAAAGTTTTTGGGGGTTAAATATAACTTCAACTGATTCAGTTCTGGAATTGTTAAATTGATAAAATATTTATTTTGATATTTGAGGTCTTATCTTTTTCAGTTGCAGATTTTATATTTTCAGATTGAGATCCTTTTTTTTTTTACAGTGTCAGACTTTTGGGCTTGTTCTGGCATGGCATCAACTGAGAGGGGCGCGTAATCACGAGTGACAGCATAACAAAGAAGGCTGAGGACCTTCCTCAACCACGTTGCCTTCAGGAAACGTCGGTACCACGAGAACTATGACTCAACACTTTCTATACAACATATTCACGTGATTGAAGTGAGAAAAAAAAAAAAAACGGCAAGACGCCAGCTATCCTCAAGGAACCTTCAGAGGGAACCAGCTACTGGTCCGATTAGTCTTTCGCCCCTATACCCAGGCCGGACGACCAGTTACCGGGGGCCGGGATCCCACCCCTAGCCGGCGCGCTGGCCCTCACTTTCATTGTGAGATCAATGATCAAATCTATTGGCCTGGATTTGGCTCTGTACATAGTTTGTTTTTATCAGTGCTGCTAAAGGAAAGCCAGTGCACTCAAAATGAAAAATAAGCATCTTCCTATGTTTGGAATACAGCTTATTAACTAATTTGTCTTACATCTCACTTTAAGTCCCAGAAGAACCTGTAGCACAAGGTGAATATCTATTTGAGATACTCTCAGCAGTTATCAAGAAAATTATCATCCCTCCAAACACCTATGTTGCAAAGCATCGATGCAGATACACTGAAGTACAACATCATGGCCGCAAGGCCAACCGCTTTGACGTACCTGTGTGGCCTTTTCATCAGACGCATTGGTGGCTTCTGTGGTATCTTTGACAAAGTAGTTGTCAATGATGTCGCTCTGTTTGTAGTCCTGGTGGCACACTGAACAGCGCATAACATTTACTATGGACAGAAAAGAGACAGAAAACAAGGAGGGGGGGGGGGGGATACACAAGTCAAATGAGATCAAAAGGTCAACCCCTGGGCTACACATTCAATGCTTACTGATGATTGATTGATGACTGATCTTTGAAGAAAAATGCAAAACAAAGCCAGAGAAGCGGTGACGAGGACAAGCCCACGTGAAACCTATTAACTGACTTCTTATGAAGCCCCCTTAACTCTTGGCTAAATATAGTCCTGCTCCAAACTAATGAGGATTAATAAGAGGCCCTCTGCATATTTTCTGCTTATTTCCATAATTTCCTTTAGGTAAATTCCTGTCGTTATTAAAAAAATTCTTGGCACCGTGGGACACCTACTGCCTATTCATGGGAGCTAATTGATTAAGCGTCCATCTCCAGGAGATTCAATCTTGTCATCTTTGGCATATTTATTAGAAAATGAAATCACATGGCCAAACAACGAGGACTGTTTCACTTAATCGCATTAGTTGGCTTTGTTGATGGAATTAGCTCAATTACTGCTATAATCATACACCCCGGAAAATAATTAGTTCAGTGCATTAACGTGGCCATTTATTTTCTCAAGTTTTGATATGCAAAATATCAAACTTCACATTAACACATAAACATTTTAAATTGAGTCAGCATAATATATGTCACCCCTCCCCCTCTACCTCATAAGCCCATAAAATCCCCCCCCCCCCCCCTCACCAGCCAGCTGAGGTAAAAAACTGGTTGAAGCCAGTATAAACCGGTCTACACTGGCTTGAGCAGCACACAGCCGGTTTGTGTAAGCTCCAGCTGCATGGGTCTCTGAGTGATTGGTTGTGAAAGCAGATGGACTGGGGTTGTGTGAAGGACCCCACACTGTGTGGAGGAACCAACACAACCCCTACAAACACACGTACCACACAGCTATCACTGTGAACTGGAGCAGAGGAGAGCAGTGCAGTGCACCCCCCCCCCTCTCCCTTATATTCATAAAAAGTACTGCTAAAGAACGTAGAAACAAGACTATAAAAGCATAAAAGCAACCAGGTCGGTTTGACTAAATTGGGCGATTGCTTTGCCAAATATACATTAACCTCGTCGATTTGCAAGTGCTGGGTGCATTAGTACCAGAGATGTACCACAGTGAGCCGCAACCAACGCTTACACTGTGATCAAGTTATAGCACCAACTATCCCTGAAATACAGGGATATCACTTATCTTGAACATCACTGATCTTGTAGAAGTGACAGATATCATCACATTTTAACTCTGCTTGGTGTCCGTGTTCACCTTCACTTCATCACAAGATGGAAACCAACCCAAAATTTGGTCCAACCACAAAAACATTTGTATCTTAAGTCACATTTAATCATCTTCACTTCTTATCTTTTACAATGAAACCATGAGTCATGCTACGAGAGAAAAAAAATACAATCGTAGTATTGTGCAGGTTAATGCACGTTTAACAGATAGAGCATTCTTCAGACACACCTGACAGGTACTTCTGGATATTTAAAGGGCACTATCAGTAAGAAGCAAAACAACATGTCACGTAACAAGCTGCTGCCATATATTACAGCAGACATCACAAAAGAGAAGTTGAAGTCAGGATGGATTCATGAACTCGTTTCTGAACTGCATTCTCAACTAGCTTTGACATTTCCTCATTTTATGTACGCCACTTAACATGCACATTATCATGAAGAAGATTGTCTGATCATGTATCAGTATCCCCCCTTTCCTCTGATCTGGTAAAGCACAGGGTTTAATACTATCAATCAGTAGCTTGGGTTAGTGTTGTGACCGGGGAAGGGAGACATCATTTCTAACCCTTTAAGTGAAGCCATGTCAATCAAATGCTTTAAATCTAGTTGCTGACACACTTTTTGTAGGATTTAACTGCGACAGTGGAAGAGGCCAATGAATAATCTTCTGATATGTTAGAGCTTTCACAAACTCAGGCAAGTAGTGCAGATAGACTGGGCCAGATGTAGTTCTGTATTATGTGACCCCCACCTTCCAAAACTCCAGTCAGAGGCAACTGTGGCCAAACATTTAAAGTGAAAAGATATTCCCATGTCAAATTCAAATTGTAGGGCTGAGTGAGGTCATATGAACCACATCATCTACTAAGGATAAATAGGACCCGCCCC